AAAATCACACAATCTAGCAAGCAATCCAGTTCCTTAAGCTCCTTCTCTCAATAGAGTCACACACACACACACACACACACACGCACGCACGCACGCACGCACGCACGCACGCACGCACACGCTGTGCATATGTATACGCACCCTTGTGTATCCTAAGAGTTTTATTTCTTGGAGAACCTTCTTTGTCAAGGAAAACCTTGAGTAACATTTAAATTTGAATAGATCTGTCTTTTCAGTAGAAGCAAAAGTGCTGTTTTCTGATGACTCTCAAGGCCCTTTGGCCTTTTTTTTTCCCACTGACAGCTGTCAATGTCTGAATCAAGTGAAGTCACTAACTTCTGCTCCTACTCTATGTGTGCTTCCTAAAGCAGAGGTTCTCAAGTTATCTTTCACAGCACAGTCATTCCATCTACTGTAAAAACACGCATTGATGCCCAAGTCAAAGAATGCAGATATTTCCTAATTTGAAAAAAAATGTAGCCATCAGAATATGTGATTCTGTAGGTTTCCTTTTTATCACTTTTCTTAAAATTTAGGTACTATTCCGATGTGTATCTTAGGACTTAGCATATAGTACAAAAGTAAGCTAAGTGGTCTACTTAATTATTTCACTTTAGTCTATCAACACTTAGTGGTCCACAGACATAAATAGCCTTTCAAAGGCCAGCTATTTGATGTTAAGATTCATTGTTCTGAATGGAGTTCTGATTTCGTTAACTTTTCAGGGCTCCCTGAGGCCTTAATTTAGTGGTTCTCAACCTGGGGAGTGGGGACGGTGTGTTGAGACCTCTTTGGCAAACCTCTATCTCCAAAAATATTTACATTATGATTCATAACAGGCCAAAAAGTTCATTTGTGAAATTGCAACAAAATCAATTTTATAGTTGGGGGGTGTCACCACAATATAAGGAACTATGTTGAAGGGTCACAACATTAGGAAGAAGGTTCAGAACCACTGGCTTAATTTGACGGAGAATCCTAGGAACATCTTGTTACACGCAAGCGTCTTCCTGTGTCATTCTGTCCCATCCCTCCTCTTGCTCAGCAGTCTTTGTTTCCAGTGGGTCTCTTCAAACCCAGATTGCCTCCCGTCCTGTTCTGCTACAGTAGAAGTTAAGAACCATTAGGTGTTTTGGTTCTTGTAGACAGAGCGATAATTTCTCTCTATCTCTCTCTGTCTCTCTCTGTCTCTCTCTGTCTCTCTCTCTGTCTCTCTCTGTCTCTGTCTCTCTCTCTCTCTCTCTCTGTGTGTAAAATATTAGCCAGATTTAGCCATTCTGTTTTTTAGTCAACTGGAGAGAGACTAGGAAACCTCTAAGCTCTATTCAACACAGCACCCAGGCTGCCTGCTCCTGGTATTTCCTGGTTTCTTTTAGTCATCCCTTTGTGAATTTTCCTCTTATTTCTGCCCACTGAACCCTTTCCCCAACTGCCCCTGTCTGGGATTATGCTTCCTTCATCTCTACACCTTTCTGTTCTTAGTCAACAGGAGTGTTATGCTCTACTTTTTGGCTGCGTATGCTTAACTTTTCTTCCCTATTGGCTTCTGCTAAAGCAACCTAGTCTAATTCTTTTCTTTACCCATGCTTATGTGATGTCATTCTGAATGCACAACAGAACAGATTGTGTGCATTAAAAAAAGCCAATTTTGATAAAAAAATAGTATCAAAAAACAAACTATAAACACTCAGGTTGTCACAACTTGAAGTCAATGATCATACTCTTGGTTGTTTTTATACCACTAAGAAGATAACTAATTAAGGAAGAATCAAGATGTCTTTGATCCAGACTTTGAGCTCATTCATGGTGTGATGGTTTCTTAAGTTTGGCTGTAAACTCAGAAGCTCTGCAGTCATTTTCTCTCTGTACAGATGAGGAAACTGAGGACCAGAGAGGGCTTGTGATTTATTCCAGACTATCAATGCTTTAAACAGATTTCAAATCCAGTGCAAGTTTCCTGACTCACAAGCCAGCTTTATAGTTTGACACTAATAGTGTCTTAAAAATTTTAATTTATTATTGCATGTGTACTGCATATGGTGTGTGTGTGTGTGTGTGTGTGTGTGTGTGTGAATATGGGCATGTGCATGTTATTGCCTATCTGTAGAGGTCAGAGGGCAGCTGTGGGAGTTGTTTCTCTCCTTCCACCATGGACCTTAAGAACTAAGCTTAAGTCGCCAGGCTTACCAGGCAAATGTCTACCTGATAAGCCATCTTGCTGGCCCTAATGTTTCTTCTTTTCAAGATAAGACATTGTTTCCATTTATGTTTAAAATTAAGAGGCATTGCCATTGATCTTTTATCTTACAGTTAAGAGAACCTTGCAAAGCCACCAGGAGAAAGCTTTCCTCCTCCTCCTCCTCCTCCTCCTCCTCCTCCTCCTCCTCCTCCTCCTCTTCCTCCTCTTCCTCCTGCTCAGTCTTTCTCTATCTTCCCTCTAATTTAGGAAATGCCATAGTTACAAAATCATTCCTTTATTCCTTTGCTTCTGGTTAAAATACAAAAACATCCAGGGAACTCACGATGGGTCTTGAGAGTCATCGATGGCAATGGCTCATCGTGAATTTATTAGATCTCTCTTCACACTGCTCTTCAGAGGGAGAATAAAGGTACCACCAGAAGGAGACAGAGCCCAGATGAACGTAGGGCTTAAAAGGACAAACTTCCCTATTCAAACTTGGAGACCCAGAGGCTGGGCGTGGTGACACATGTCTGTAACTCCATTAGCCAAGAGAGGAGAGTTCAGTCTGGGCTACATTTTGAGAGACCCTGTTTTCAAAACATAAAACAAAACAGGAAAGGAGAGGGAGGGAGAGATGAAGGAGAGGAGGGAGAGATATGGAAGGAAGGAGGGACTGGAAGGAGGGAGGGAGGGAGAGAGAGAGAGAGAGAGAGAGAGAGAGAGAGAGAGAGAGAGAGAATGGGGCTTGGATCTTGTTCTCTGGATAGATGACTCCAGAGATGTGATATGTCCTGTTGTCCTGCCTGCCATTTAGCACACAGTGTTAGGGGCTGGTTTGTGCCTCTCACACACCTCTTATTCTCACGTACCACTCACTTTCCTCAGCTGTGTGAAATCTCTTTACCTGACAGTACTAGAAAGGGAGTAGGCAGGATGAGGTGACTTACACTTAAGGATCAAGCAGCGGAGAGCAGAGAAATAGCTGTGTCACTAACAGTGGCTGACTGTGAGTCACTAACAGTGGCTGACCATGTGTCACTAACAGTGGCTGACTGTGTGTCACTAACAGTGGCTGACCGTGTGTCACTAACAGTGGCTGACCGTGTGTCACTAACAGAGGCTGACTGTGTGTCACTAACAGCGGCTGACTGTGTGTCACTAACAGCGGCTGACTGTGTGTCACTAACAGAGGCTGACTGTGTGTCACTAACAGAGGCTGACTGTGTGTCACTAACAGTGGCTGACTGTGTGCCTCACCTTAAGCATTTTCTTGTAACCAAGTATCCCTTGTGAGCCCCACCCTATGCAAGAACTCCCCAGTGACCCAGCCCCTCCATGACTTATTTCAATCACTCAACACTCTGAGAAGCTGTTTACTTTTAGCAGCGCTGATTTTAAGAGGTTAAAAGTGTATGTCTTTCTTTCTTTTTCTTTTCTTGTACATTCATTAAGTTTGTTTTCTTATGAAGTTATTCATATCCAGGGTGTTGATAGCTCCCAACACATTGAATAAGTTGACAAACAATTGCTCACTAATCAAACCAATGTTCAAAGCAGAAGAGAGGTGAGACTCACCTACCAGTCATGAGATTGCCTTTTCAAGTTCAGTACCTCTTTCCCTTGCTCAGGTTTCTTGCACGAAAGAATATAACAAACCACACCTCAAACTCATGCTAGAGAAATTTGGCTTAAAAATGGGAGGGAGGAGGTGGGGGAGAGGGAGTGAAAGAGAAAGACAAACAGAGGCCTTCCTCATCCATGTGGTCTCTGTCCTAGATGGGCAGCAGTGGCTCACCAGGCTTGAGGGCAGCCTGCAGAACCATCAGGCCCAGATCATGGAGGAGGGTCCAGTAGATTCTGGAGCTGATTCACATGGTGGTTTGGAATATATGCAAGAGTGAAAAAAAAGAAAATTTGGCATTTCATTTACTCTTTTTGTCTAACTTCTCTTGCAATCTAAATGTTCACGAGTCTCTTTGGGTAGTTAAAAAAATATGGGAAAGTTGACTTTTTTTTTTTAAAGCCCAGTACAGCAGAAAGAAAGAAAGAAAAAAGTGTGCTACAAGCACACACAAAAAAGCATTTTTACACTTATTGGGAAGATTAATCAAAAGGAGAACTACTTTCTCAAGGAACTTAAAAAAGCACAGCGTCCATGTTAGCTATATGAAGAAGATAATATACAGGCATGAAATGTATTGCCTTCTTTCCTGCTGTGCTTATCCATTTTATTCAGTGAGGAATGGTCTATAAGTATCGCCTTGACTTTTATAAAGACCTTAAAATTAACAAAAAATCATAAATGTCCTTAAAAATGCCTAAAACTACTGAGAAATGAAAATTTAGGCTATGACCATAATCATCAAAGTGTAAATATCCAATAACACTGGTGTTGAGACAATTTGTGTAAAAATATTAGGACAAGAATAAATGTATTTATAACCTGGTAGATCACCTCATTAGCGAACAGTAAAGATGAGTCCTGTAAAAGTAGCCTTGATTAGATAAAACTAATTTGTTGACTTATTCTAGCCCATGTACTGATTAAGCAGAACTGTTTGCAGGGAAGACCCGTGAAGAAACTGCCCCACAGATCCTTTTAAAGGCTTGTCAGACCAAATGATTTCTGACAAGAACAGGAAACTTGGTCAGGCAAAAGGACAGATAATTAGCCAAAGAACATTTTCCAGAAGAGTTATAAGATCTCAAACTACAAAAGGGACAGACTCTACCATTACAGTGTATAGGGCCCCTTTTTCCTTGCTCCCAGGAGAGTAGAGAGAGCCAGTGGGCTGCACTGAAAAGTTTCTGTACTCACACTGGCTGCCTGGTCTCTTCTGCCTTCTCCTCCCGGCGCTGCACAGACTCACTCTGCAAGCATGCGCCAGCCCAAGATGCTTTTCTACCACACTGTATCCTCTGACGCTCCAGTCCCAGGGAAGGGTGGTCTGTGATTGGAAGGAGGCATCTCACATGGGCTGAGCCTGAGGCTGCCTGAACCTGCCTGGCTGAGCAGGAAGCACTGTTTCCTCTGCTGCTTTGGAATGTACATCTCTGATGGAGAGTTCGGCTTTTCTCCTTGAATGCAAACAGGTTTGTGTGTGTGTGTGTGTGTGTGTGTGTGTGTGTTTAGCTGGTGTTCCTTCACTTGACTAGGTCATTAACATCAAGCCTTTGCTTATTAAAGAAACCTGCTCGTGCTCCCCTCTCTACTTGCACAGGGTCAGGGCCAGGCTCAGTTTCTGTAACCACAGACTATATTCGAGGGGACAGTAATATTCATTAGGTGAGTGTCTCAGCAACTAATAAAGGAGAAAACAGTTGGAAACGGATGGAGAAATGCAAACGAAGAGACAGGATCAAGTAATGCTTTGATGTCTTACTAGGTCCTTCCTTTCTCTCGGTCCCTTTCTTCAGGACCACTGAGTCACGTATACACGGCATGAAGAATATTGCTCTTAATGGGAAAGTAGCAACACACGGATAGTTTAGTCTGGTGTTGTGGGGTAGTAAGGGCAGCGATATTAGAAAGTTCTGAGCACTTCAATCAACAGATTGAGAGGTCCTCATAGATTAGTGCCATCTCACCACAGGCTCTTCTTACTCAAGGGACAGAGTTAGTGTGCAGTGTGCTTATTAACAAGTACCCTGAGACCCATGATCACAGAAACATGAGCAGGCTGTAGGTGGGACAGCCTCGGGCTATGTACTGGTAACCTTGAGGATGATGGCTGTCTGAGCTGTGTACTGGCTGCCTCAGTGAGCTCAGTGTTTAGGTGAGGGTACCCTCCCTGGAGAACAGACGTCCATAGCTAAGTCCAGTTTCTGAGCAAGACTGACAATGGAAAGCAGTTAGTGTTTGAAAGGGTACAGAGTGTGATATCTATGTCCCTCTCCATGCCTTCTTCCTCTTCAGTGTTCCAGAGTCCGCTTAGGTGACTAGGGTAATTCATGCAGTAAACTTCTACACCATGGCTAAAAATGAAGCCACATAAAACAGTTCCACGAAGATAAGTTTAGCCATTTATTCAACAAATGTTTATGAAAGCTCATGTTGCCTCAGGACCAAGTCTAGCAGCTAAAGATGCAAAACAGCAAATTACAATATAACAGAGCAGCTCTGCTTACAGAGCATTGTGCTTGAGTTACCCCAAATTACAATGTAACCTAACAGCTCCTTACAGAGCATTGTGCTTGAGTTACCCCACATTACAATGTAACCTAACAGCTCCTTACAGAGCATTGTGCTTGAGTTACCCCACATTACAATGTAACCTAACAGCTCTGCTTACAGAGCATTGTGCTTGAGTTACCCCACATTACAATGTAACCTAACAGCTCCGCTTACCGAGGATTCTGAGTTGAAACTTTATTTTTTAAAATACATATGAATTTCGGCTTTAGAAAGAACTTCCAGTAAATATTAGAAGGAAGATATTTGGGTGGTAAGGTTTGGGTGACTACTATTATTTTTGCAGTCCATACATATTCATATGGCACCTCGATTACGACTTTCCAAAGAGAAACATAGGTCATCAAAAGGTCCTTCCCTGGAAATCTGTAAGCAATGAAAGGGCAAGGAAGCAAAGACTCATTTCCATCCATGTTCCAGGCATTTTATGTTCTCCTAGGGCTGCATGGAGACAAACATAAAAGACTTGAGGGCTGGAGCGATGCCTCAAAAGCACCTGCTGCTCTGGCAGAGGACCTGACTTCAGTTCCCAGCACCCATTTCACAGGGTCACAGATACCTGGAAGTCTACCCCCAGGAAATCTGATGCGCTCTTGTAGTCTCTGAGGTCACACACACACACACAAATGTATATATATATATACATTTGTGTGTGTGTGACATGCATGTGTATAATTCTAAAAAACCTTCACAGGTTTGAAGATCTTTTCAGAATAGACAAAGGAAACACAAAACCCAGTTACAGGAAGGAAATCAGGAAGAGCAGATTGGTTTTTAGATAAGCGCAAATTGGTTAGTCGTGGAATTTGTAATCCTTAATGTGAAAGTACGACAGATTTCTTTTTCTAATAACTAATTTCTGTTTTGAAAAGTTTTTCTTTCCTCTTTTAACCATATCCTAACTCGACTAAAAGAACTAATCTGTGAATTCCGTTGCAAACAAAACAGAACAGAACAGCCGAAACCCAACTAACCAACCAAAAAGCAAAAGAAAAACCCAACGCCAAAAAAAACCAAGAATTTTTTTCCTATTACCACAATTTAGATCAGAAACCCCAGTGGTTGAGGAAGAATGGGGGAAGACATGGAGTTCCCATATAACAATCTCCTGAGAGGGGAACCAAGCCTCTGATCTTTTTTGTAGTACACCAGGCCAAAAACCCTGCAGGTAGGGTCTGGTACAGCACACTCACGGAGCCAACAGGCTCCCACGGGCACCAGAGGTGTCTGCCCACACACTGGATTGCAGCCAGTTTGTGCCATGTGAATTATTCTAGACTCCAGTCTGATGCCAACTCCACCTTCTGTCTATCCTATCAGGCCTACCTTCTCTGCCTGGCCAAATCCTGGCACTATCAACTTTTTACTCTGTGTTTGAAGTGTGCCCAGTCACATAGCATCTAAAAGCCCATGGAAAAATCACTTTCTTTAGTGAGCCTTGAGTTTTGGTAAAATTTTTCTTGAAATGAATAAACTAAGAGGGTTTGAGTTTTAATGGGCATTTTTCCTATTTAGCAATTTGAGGCGGTGACTTAGGAGGAGGTGGGAGGCTGTGATCAGGATGTAATGTGAATAAATAAATTAATAGAAAAAAACAAATCCAAAGTTGATAGACATACCTGTAGTCCCTTCAGCTCTGAGAGATGATGACAAATTCAGATAAATTTAGTTAATTCAGTTCACATGTTTAGGTGATAGTAACATGGCTTCTACCTGCTCACCTAGACATTTTCCAGAAAATGGACATCTCCATGTAAATATTGCTTTACTTTAGAAGGGATTATGGACCATTTAATCCTAATTTGTGGCTCTGATATGGAACTTTAAGTGAACTGACCAAGTTCACATAGCCCAGTTTTTCTTCCAGTGAACGAAATTCTTCACAATACTCCTAATGTCCAATATTAAGAGGGCGTGATCTGAAACTTGGTTTATTGAGACACACAACTAAAGATGTTCTATACAACCATACATTTTGGGTCTAAGAGGTCCCATGGGAAAACATCTTATCTTTTCAGCATCTAGAAGGATTGTAACGTTTCTTCTGTTTTTGGTTGTGAGCCTAGCCCTTAATAGCTGAGTCACCTCTCCAGCCCTAGACTTACCCATGTGAGTCTTACCCATTACCAACTTGCTTGCCTTGATGCACTAACTGTTATACATTTTCAGCAAAATTTGTTCTTGCCTTCATTCTCGTCACTCTGTACAGTCAAGATACAAATGGCTTTTATCTGACCAAAGTCGGGAGTTTTCCCTTTCTCTACATTTACTGTCACTCAGCAGTAGTGACACAGCGGACTGGGCCATCACTCTTCTTACATTTCTGCTCCAGCTTCCCGAATTACATTCAACTCTGTGCTTCTTCCACTTTTCCTGTTGGTTTGACCTCATTGCTGTTTCCTCGTTAGCCTGACACAACTTGTTAGGAGACCCACGCCTCAGAGCATCTCTCAAGTCCGAGTCTTAAAGGTACAGTTCCATCAGGAGGGGCTGGTGCACACCTTACTCCCATTACTTCCTGGACAGAAATGCAAACAGGTAAAGCAACTCTCAGTCTCTAGGTAAGAGGTGAAGTTTCAGGCTTTTGTTTTCCTTGAGGAATTTTTTAAAGTTAACCAATAAGTGGATCTCACTGTAGCGGTTGCTTTGTTCTTCTCAGTCCCCTATTATGGTGCGTTCCTATGCTTCTTATGGTTATATTGTCAAGACAAAACACCACAACCTAGAGAGCTTAAAAAATAAAGCATTTAATTAGGGCTCATGGATCCAGAGGGTCGGAGTCCTTGACCAGCATGACAGGCAGCATGACAGCTGGAACCCAGGCATGGCACGAGTAGCAGCTGAGAGCTAACATCTGGTTTACAAGCATGGGGCAGAGGGAAAGAGACTGGTAATGGTGCAGGTCTTTGAAACTTCAAAGCCCACCGCCAATGACACACCTCCCCCAACAAGGCCACGCCTCCTACTCCTTCCCAAGCAGTTCCAGCAACTGGGGACCAAGTGTTCAAATATAAGAGCTAGTGCCTGGAAAGAGTTGTCTCCATTCCTCACCCCAGCCCAACATGTGCTTATCCCTGCGCCATGAGCTTTACTGTTCTAGACATTTAATGTAAGAGAAATCGTCTGGTCTATGCCCTCTGCCTGGGCCACTTTGTGTCTCAGCCATGTGTATATTCCATCCCCACTTAGTGCTGAATAATACCATTGTGAACGGGTACAGCAGCTTCCCATGTTGGATTTAACAACTGCAGCAATAGCACACACTGTCTACTACCTTGGTTCTCAGTGTACTGTCTGAGAGAGTGAAGGACGATCTCATGCAACGAGCCTCTGTAGTTTTCCATCTTCCAAAATAGGAAGTTTGTCCCCTTAAATAGTTTTTAGTTCTTCCTTTCTCCTCCAGCTCCCAATAACTACACTGTGCTTTTTTCTGTTTCTACAAATTTGGAAATTTATAAATAATGTAAGTAGAATCATACAACATTCCATTCCTGGTCGATTTTATTTAGCACTACACTCTCTAGATAAAAACACATGGTGGGGAATTCTTTCTTCCTTTTCAAGGGTGAATAGTATTCCAGTGCATGTCTACTATATTTAAAAATCCATTCCTCAGTTGGTGAACATGCAGGTTGTTTTCAGCTTTTTTGGTTATTAGGAATTCTTCTCTGAATATTTGTAAA